AATAATTATACAAATATAAAAAAATTACCACCTTTTTGTAGCCCGAAATTAAACTTAGTTGCAGGTATATTTCATTGTATATTGAAGAAAAAGATTATAACAAGCAAAGATCAAATAAGTGATGCCACAATATTTAAAGCTCATTAAAACCCCTTTTAAACTGAGTCTAAATGCAGGTCAAATTATTTTAAATAAACTGTGCAGTCTCTTTTAAGCCGTTCAAATAAAATGCATAGAAAATGCTTAACTTACTTTATTTCTAAGCTCCCAGTCGCTCAATTGAATTTTGCTTAATTTATACAATTGCATGCATGTTTGTATATTTTTGTTTGCCTCAACATAAATCTTAACAAAGCCAACAGCAACGCCAACAACAAATGCTGCTAACCATTTCTCAATTTTAAATACATTTATTGTATTTGCATGCCTGTCTAGCACTGACACAGCGGCAAGGAACGAAAGAAAGGCAAAATAATTTAATAACCCACAAAGCACCAGGCACACTTTCGCAGAAATAAACACAAGCAAATAGACAGACAGACATTCGGGCCAAGTTGCCTTGTTGGCCCGGCGCTCTGTCTATGTATTATTCAAATTCAATTATAAAAAAACGCAATAAATAAAAAAATGTTTATATGCAATGGAGATAAGAGAGATAAGCCCCAAACGAGCAGGAAAAATGTTACTTGTGTATCGAATACTCTAAGGACCTCCCAGCAAGAGTTAGTGTCGATTCCCCAATGAATTGTATATTATTTGTTTTAATTTTAAAATGGGGGAAAAATTTAAGTTTAAGTCTAGAAAAATACTCTTTCAACTGAAAGAGTTATTCCGTTCATGAAATGCTTTTACATTTTAGCACTGTTTTTGCAAGTACTTAATAAATTGTATACATCTGATGTACACCTAGTTCCTAGTTTATCAGCCTGGTTACCCAACTAAACATTTCTTACACCGATAAATTTCCAGCACCTAATATTTCCTTTGATATCAGCAATCCAACAATCCCTGATCTAGTTGAAATACCCTTTTCTTGTGGCAGAAAAACGTGCGGCAAACAGCAAGGGAAGCAAAACCGAAAGGGAATATTTATTATTTGAAAAATACCTTGAGGCCGTGGCGAACGTCGTGAGTTCATAAATAACAGCCGGCCCAAATGGACAAAATCAAGCGAAAAGTGCAGAGGGCAGCAAACGGAATTTGATAAGCGATAAGGGGCGGGGCCCCAGGCAGCCGTACAAATAATAATATTAGTAATAATAGTAATCAATGTGTAGTGTAAATAATAAATAACACAGGGCCCCCGAAAATGCCAATAAATTGATAAAAGATGATGGGACGACTGAACGAGACGAAAGGACGGGACGGGAAAGGAGGGTTCGGCGTGCCGGCCATCTATGTTATGTTGGCCACGTTGGCCACGTGGGCCATGTTGGCCATGATGGCCATGAGCGATTAGCCCCGGCACGCAACCGCCGTGAAGAGTGCTCACAAAGGTCAAAAGGAAGCCCCGAGTACAAACACACTCGGCGAGATAGAGAGCATAAACAACATAAATTTATTTGCTGTTAGCCTAATGTTATTTATACCTTTCAATTACAATAACAGCAGGACCGGGGCAGCGGGTCCCGGCAAAGTAAATAATAAACCATGACCCATCAGCAATCAGCCAGAAAAGCGGTTGGAGGAGGGGCTGGCGGAGGGGAACCCCCTCACTATCAGACGTAATGCGTGCGCATAAATAACCCGGCCATCTCCAACTCCATCTCCGCGGCCGCGAAAGGTGTGAATATTAAGCCGGTGGCAGCGCCAGTTCCCCAAAAATTTACGGTCGCCCGTAAAAGTTCCGCTCCAGTCATAACTCAAATTCATGCCTCCCCGGGGGAAAGGGCTGCGCCGCGTTGCCAACGCACTTGATTTGGCTCCCGAACTCAAGCCCCAAGCTCCATCCCCACGAAAAACGCCCGACAAATGAGGCAGCCAACCGCAGCAGTATAATTCGGCAAATCTAGGGATGCAAAACGACATTAACGCGGCTCAGCAGCCAACCGCCGACCTGGCCAAGATTCCCGTCCCGAAACGGGGCAGATCAATCACTCGGGTCGACTCCTGTGAGGCGGTCGTGGTCTGATATCAAGCATTTTACCTCAAACTTAAAGACGGGCGGAGATTAATGCTCCAACTTAAAACGGCATAACTACGAGCTAAAAATGCCGAAATTAATGTGAGAGTTGCAGGTAAGACGTGTTTATTATAGGGCTGTTCTGTGAATTAAAAGCAGAATATCTTCGTAGTAGCAGAAGCAGATTCCAACTATACTTAAGTTGTGTATTTAGATCATTAGAAGAAGCTAAGTATTTTTAAGCCTCAATGCCTCTTGAGTAAAAGATGCTTTTGTTAGAAGGTATGTAACAGAAATAAACTTGGAATAAGTCGAGTCTCAATTCACGAATTTGAGTCTAGTGCTTCTTCTTCTTTTTTAATGCTATTGCTGTATGAAGTTACCAACTAAAACACTATATTTGACGAGCATTTATCAGCATTCACATTAAAATTGATTTTAAACGCCATTCTGTCGAGATTTCGGACGATTTATAATTCAATAGATGAAACATGATGATTCACTGGAAATCCCATGGCAGGAAATGGCTTTGACTTGTATCTCAGAAAGATAACCCCAGATAATGCAGGCCTTGGACTCGGGCATTCCAGCTCATCTTCAGTATTTAAAGCTCTGAATCGGTCTTGAATCACCGTGAGTTTGGAATAGATCGCCATGAGTTCTCTTCGGCTTCGAGCACTTCAAGTGCTCCTTTCCCTGATCCTTGTGAATTTCGCAATGGCTCAAGAGGTCAGTGACGAAGAATGGGCCAAGTACAAAGCCCAATACAACAAGCACTACATCTTCAACGAGAACTACCACCGTTCTATATACAGGGAGAGCGCCCAGACAGTTGCCGAAAACAACAGGCTCTTTGCAGAGGGAAAAGTTGGTTTCAAGATGGGATTGAACCAGCGCTCGGACATAGATCAGGGTGTAATCCACAGATATAGAATAAACGTTCGAATTCCTCGGGACACGGGGTCTAATTCCGTGACTAAAACGCCGAGCTAAAAGCACTACGATGAGATAACCGAGGGAATCGACTGGCGAGAGTACGGCTACATATCGCCTGTGGAAGACCAGGGCGAATGCGAGAGCTCCTGGGCCTTCTCCTCCTCGGGATGCATGGAGGCGCATCTGGCGAAGAAGAACGGCACGCTGGAGCCCCTGTCCCCCAAACACTTGGTGGACTGTGTTCCCGCTCCGATCAACGGATGCTTCCGGGGCTGGGTGACTTCGGCCTTCAAGTACGCGAAGAACCATAGCATCGCCTCCAAAGAGTCATATCCCTACGAGCCATACAAAGACACTTGTCGCTGGGAGAACAAAAACTCGAATGGAACCCTGCGAGGCCACGTCACTCTGAACAACTACGATGAGAAGGAAATGGCCGAGGTGGTCTACAACATCGGGCCTGTGACTGCTTCCATTGACCATTTGCATTTGGAATTCAACAACTACGAAAGTGGCGTCGTTAACATTCCCAACTGCCGAACCGATAGGGAAGGGCTCACTCACTCCATGCTGGGGAGACTACTGGCTGATCAAGAACTCCTATGGAGACAAATGGGGCGAAAACGGCTACATAAGACTGGCCCGAAACGCTGACAACATGTGTGGAATCGCCTCGTATCTCCAATACCCACTGTTCTGACCTACTGTAACATGTTTATAAATCGGCTCTTTTGCGCGTGTGCATCACGCTTGAGACATAAAGTACTATCTGCCACCAAGTGCCGTTGACATTCATAGTTTTAAGTACAGGCCATTTTAGAAATATGGTAGTCACTTTAAGATTTGTAAAAAACAAAGCTTATTCTGCGGGGGTCAAAGATAACTCTCCCGCTTTGAAAGCAAACGTGGCGATATAATCTTTAAAACTATTTTCCTATATAAATCGAACACCAGACAAAATAAATTCGGATTTCTAAAAAACCACAACTCTGTAGTCGTCTTTATTTGGAGCCATTTACACCCAGAACTTCTATAAGTCCGTCAAAAAGCAATAAAGATGAAAACCAAAAACAACACCTTTAGTGAACATTTAAGACAAATAGATTAGAGTCTAATCATTAGACCTTTCAAAATGAAATGTTATATGGAGCGAAAACAATTTAACGAATTATTTTAAAGGATTCATAAGTAAATGTTTTTAATAAATATTATACAATCTTTTGCAAATGAAATTTGAAATAATATTAACAAGGTCAAAAACTTGCAATAAACTACTATCGAATTTCGAATTAAACTTTATCAAAATAGGACAACTATATCATATAGATGCCATTGAAAAGATCGATAAATCTATATCTATATGATTTTTAGAGTTTTAGAGTTTTCTAAGGCACCTTAAATTTCGAATTATATTTCATAAAAATCGGAAGACTATGTCAGACAAACAATCGTCGAATATATAAAAAATTAAGAGAAAAATCGTGATAGCCCTTATGAATTTTGTTTAACATATTTGGTGACTGCAAGGGTACATAAGCTTCCTTTCTTGTTGTAAGAAGATATGTAACAAAAATATACTTCGGTTTAAGTCGAGTCTCTTCTTTTTTAATGCTATTGCTGTATGGATTCAACTAAACATACCAACTAAACACTATATTTGACGAGCATTTATTAGAATTCACAATAAAATTGTTTTTTAAAGCCGTTCTGTCCAGATTTGCCTAGAGTTTTGACTATTAATTGATCAACATATACACGCTTTCGGACTTTATAATGCAATAACACATTAGTGATTCACTGGAAATCCAGTGGCGGGAAATTGCTTTGACTTGTAACTCAGAGAGATAACCCCAGATAATGCAGGCCTTGCACTCGGGCATTCCAGCTCATCTTCAGTATTAAAAGCTCTGAATCAGTCTTAAATCACCGTGAGTTTGGAATAGTTCGCCATGAGTTCTCTTCGGCTTCGAGTACTTCAATTACTCCTTCCCCTGATCCTTGTGAATTTCGCAATGGCTCAAGAGGTCAGTGACGAAGAATGGGCCAAGTACAAAGCCCAATACAACAAGCACTACATCTTCAACGACAACTACCACCGAGGTATATACAGCAGGAGGGTCCAGGCAGTTGCCGAAAACAACAAGCTCTACGAAGAAAAGAAAGTTGGATTCAAGATGAGAATAAACAAGCTATCGGACATAGATCAAAGTGTACTCAGCAGCTTCCGAACACACGTTAAAATGCCTCCGGACACGGGGTCTAATTCCGTGACTAAAACGCCGAGCTACAAGCACTACGATGAGATAACCGAGGGAATCGACTGGCGCCAGTACGGCTACATGTCTCCGGTGGAAGACCAGGGCTCCGACTGCCAGAGCTGCTGGGCCTTCTCCTCCTCGGGGTGCATGGAGGCGCATTTGGCGAAGAAGACCGGCAAGCTGGAGCCCCTGTCCCCCAAACACTTAATGGACTGTGTTCCCCCTCCGAGCAACGGATGCGAACGGGGCTGGGTGACCTTGGCCTTCAAGTACGCAAGGAACCATGCCATCAAATCCAAGGAGTCCTATCCCTACAACCCCCACAAAGACACATGTCCCTTCGAGAACGATAACTCTACTGGAATCCTGAGCGGCCACGTCACTATGAACAACTACGATGAGAAGGAAATGGCCGAGGTGGTCTACAACATCGGACCAGTGACCGCGTCCATTGACCATTTGCACGAGGAATTCACCGAGTACCAAAGTGGCGTCTTGAACATTCCCGACTGCCGGAAAGAGAGGAGAAGGCTCACTCACTCAATGCTAGTGGTGGGTTTCGGAACGGATCCCGACTGGGGTGACTACTGGCTGATCAAGAACTCCTATGGAACGACCTGGGGCGAGAAAGGCTACGTAAGACTGGCCCGAAACGCTAACAATTCGTGTGGAATCGCCTCGTATCCCCAGTACCCAATACTAATAGATTAGGCTATGCAAAAAGCACTGTTTTATGTGGCGTAAAAAATTTAACTAATTAATTTAAAGGATTTATAAATAAATGTTTTCTTAGAAATATTTTACAATCTCTTGCAGATGAAATTCTGTATATACATATTAAATTCGTTTAATTATATCAACAGGGTCAAAATACCCGCAATACATTTAAAAGATAAGAAATCATTATAAATATTATATTTGTGTGTCATAGATTTAAAAAATCTTCTATGATCACAGGTTATATTTTTGGTTTTCCCAGAATATCTAGGCGGATGTGACTGTTCTCAGAAGTAAATGAACTGATTGGGTAGCAAAACACCTTGAAGTTTTGATGTAATTACAGATTGCCTCATTCTAAAATTGTCATTAATTTTGTGGTTGGCATACAAACGGTCTTCTCTGCGGGCCTTAAATAGCGACTGACTTCTGGGCGGAAGGAGGCGGACGACTGATTGAGCAGTGGATACTTCTGGACAATTGATAAAATGTGATAAACGCGCAATACTGGGAGACAAATGGCTGCCAGGTTTGTGCATTAGCACGTGTCCGGGACGAAGCGGTAAACAACACTCGTACACTGAAATAAAAAATGTTGGTTACTCTTTTATTTATTCTGGGCACATTATTTCAAGTCCTATTATTGTGGGTTAACTTATCACTAAGTATACAGTTTACCCGGCTTAATTATTAATTAAAACATTCCAAGTCCCACCACAAATACAATTCAGATATAAAATAATTAAAATAAAAGCTCTAAAACGTTTTGAGTTTACAATACAGGGATATACGGGATGGGATAATAAGGGATATAATTAGGGTTTTTGATTGAACTTTAGAAAACACAGAAACGTATGAGTCAATTTGAGAGGCACTTGTTTTCTCACCGTGTAGCTGGGAGTGGAGCTGCCAGGTGACTCGAGGCAGCCAGCCAACAAATTGAATTTATGGCCAGGGCTAAGCGTTTTGGGTGTCAGCCTGGTTAGGTCTGATTCATTTGCCAGATATAGCCGAGTGTATATAGAATCCGGAGTCGGGGCTTCGGGGACTCTGCTCAAGTGCTGCTTTTAATTTCCGACTCAAGCAGTTGGCGATTTGCCGGCCCTGCGGCCTACAAACAATTTCAAGCAATTTGCCTAAAAGTGGGCAGCAAAGTGGGCGGGGCAATGGATGGCTGCCAGTCTATCTGGGGGCATGCATCTAAATGAACTTTGCGTGCTGCCCGGAGAAACAGGGACGGAGACAGGAAGGTAGAAAGAGAAGGGACGTGGGCCGCAGAAAGAGACAGATTCAGATACGTATACATACAATATACAGGGAGTCAGTAACAGAACCCCTGGGGACAACGAGCAACTCTCGCATTGATATGATAAAAATTTAGCAATGTGAATAATTTATAATTGCCACGCAAGCAACTAAAAGATCTGGCACCACACTGCGAAAATTTAATTTAAAAAGAGAACAAGGTATGTTTCAAATGATTTGATCATCATACGGTTAGCACTGTGCTTCTCAGCTTGGAAATTTGGAGAACTTCAGTAAAACTAGAACTTACAATATGGATTAGAGACTACCACTATTAATTGCGCACCATCATAAGATTTATAAAGTCGTTTTAAGTAAAACTATTCTATATTTAACGACCAATTATAATATTTTACTTTAATGACACAATTACTTTAACACAATTTCATTTTTGTAAATAAAGATTAAAATATTTTGATTTGTTCTGATTATTCAAAAAATTGTAGATGGAAGTGTGTTTTTTTCAACTATTTAATTTATTTACGAGCTTTATTTTGACAATTAGTAAATGTTATGATGTATATTAAGATAACGGGAATAACAGTTCTTATTAGCCATATACATATAGCATATAGCATACATATAGCAGTTTAGTTCCTCTTTCAGGGAAGTTGAGAACATAGAATCTTTTGAGTCTAAACTCTCTCATTTTTGTTAAGGTAAATATAAGTATATAATATTAAGTAAATATATTAGATAAACCAGATGTTATTTCTCACTGTGTTGGTTTTTCTTTCTGGCAATATGCAAATTCTTCAATTTTGATGTGTTATCAAAAACATTTTTTGTGGTTATTGTTTTACTTATTTATCGCATTCACTTCGCATTCGCAGTTTACCGCGCTGAAATCGATTTGCATAGTTCAGCAAATGCCTACGACAGTGTTTTCTTTTATTTGCACACATCGAACCCGGCAGGATAAAAAACCTGGGGAGTTGAAGAGACAAACTCCTGGCAAAAATCAACAGAAAGTCATCGCGCCCTTCAAGAGCCATCAAATGTCAGCAAACTATAAAAATTCCCGTAAATGTGAAACAGATTCCATGGGAACTCATAAATAGTACACAAATAAAATACAAAATGTCAGATGGCTTATAAAAAAAACCGCTTATTGTATCGATTTTTTAATTGGTAAATTGAGGCCCCAATTGAATTCGATATAAACAAAAATTGTTCGGTTCAAACCGTGTATATTAATTGAATTTGTTTTTATCGTTTTATCGTCGTTAAGTCGTATTGTTTACCAGGTTTAAAATAGCATTAAAATACCTAACAATAGGTAAGCTCAAAGGTAATAAAAAGTCCAGTTCAAAAGTGAAAAGCGGAAAACGCTTAAATATTTGTATAAAACAGCAATTCCCAAACTCTGATTAGGTTTACATCTCACAAATACTGCTTAAAGGTATAGTATATATCAGGATCAGCTTGATACACTTTTGCCATACAAATTTCAAGTTATGAAGCCAGCTTAATATTGAGTTGTCATCATTATTGATCAAAGTTGTTCCTGCTCTGCTCGGGTTTCTACTTTCATAGTTAAGCCGTCTTAGCAGAAAGCTTTTCGACGGCCTTTGAGAGACGACTTTATATGAAGTTAGGCGAAAATCCCATTCCTCCCACGCGCTTACACTAAGTTTCCGGATCTTAAAATCGACATTAGCAGAATGAAAAGTTTTTCCGTGCGGTGGAAATCTTGATAAAAAAGTTTCGCCCTTCCACTTTATTAAGCGCAAAAGAATGAAACAAAAGGCGAGAAAAAGTTTCCTTTCAACGGACATCGTAATTAATGCCCCTCCAAATTTCTGTTGTTAATATTCGAGAAATCCAACTAAGAAATCCATTTCCATTTAAGCAGCTTTACAAACGGCAATTATTATCTTTCTATTATGCAGATTAATGCAGTCTGGGGCGAAGTGCTGCTATCAACTCGGCCACAAATCACTGAAACCGCCTTAATGCAATTCAATTAATTCAGCTGGAAATCTAATTGGAGATATCAGTTTTTGGTGTCAAAATAAACCAAAGCGAAATGAAAACAAAAACATTGGGGGCCCCCAAACGGAAACAGAGACAGAAACAGAAACAGAAACAAAAGCAAATTGCAAAAGGCAGATGATGGGGTATGTGTGACGTCATTACGTAATCAAATCAAATAACAATTTGTACTTTGTTAAATTTCTTGTCGCCATCGATTGCCGGCTGTCTTCACCCCGACAAAAAATGCAAATTTCCAGTGTGTTTTTTTTTTCGTATTTCTTTGATTGTTTGTCGCCTTTGTGGCTTATTGTTTTTGGCTTCGATGTTTCTGTGTTTTATTACGTGACAACTTTGAATTAGTCGCTGGGTTTTGGCTTTGGACTCGTTCGTCTTTGACTGTTTGTGTTTGGCCTTTGATGCCTGCCTTTCGCCATCTCTTTCTGATTTCCTGTCCCCGTCCCCGTCCCTTTCCCTCCCTGCCCCATCCCATCCCATCCCACTCCAAAGGGGCCTGTGTGTGGCGCAAAATTACTCGGTGTCGCATTTTTATTGCCCAGCTGACACATAAAGTCGAGTGGCGAACTCAATCGAAGACAGACCCTGCCAGTGGACTGCTCCAATGGGCCAAAGTGGGTCAGCTTGGGAAAAAATGGGATTCGGCGGCAGGACGAGTTTATGATTTCGAACCGAGGAAATATGACAATTACAGGCGATATTAACAGGAAGTTACCCGTGGAAAACCGAAGGCTGGAACAATAACTTCTTGCCATTGAAAGGGCAGATAAATTAACGAAAATAATTTATGGTCAATTTTTATTTAATGGATTTATAGTCAATCATTTAAATATTCTTTGTAGCTCCGCAATATTCAAACCAATACATCAATACAAAGTCCCTTTTCTTTTATTTTTAAGTACACATTCCCCACATAATTTTCAACTAACAGGTCATTAATATCTTTATCTTTAATATATGTTATCTAAAATTATTTATAAGCTTTTTATTTGATTTTTTAAAAATTGTGGATTCAAAAGAGAGATCACAAGCCCATTACTTTAATGATTCCGATAAGTAAATTAATTTTGTGAGATTTATGCTACAATCAATTGCACATCTTAGGCTAAAACCCCCGATTTACTGAGCCATTTTGAAGTCAAAACTTAATTTGCCACAATTGCAACTAAATTCATTTCGGCTATCGCGATGTGATGTGTTTGAGCCAGATTCTCGACCTGTTGTTGTTATGCTAATTAAAGCGGAAAACTAATTCCGCCTAATTAATGATGACCGATTAAAATGGATTGTCAAATAAGCCCCGCCCAGATGGCGATAAGGTATTCCGGGTTAATTGGAGGCCCAAGAAAGTGCAAAGTGCAGCCAGTGCGGGCTTCCACTCCAAGGTGCCACATATCAAAACCCTACGACAAACAGACAGACAGTAAGGCAAACAATCAAATCGAAAACCAGACAGACTGGCAGACAGTCAGTGAGCGAATGCACGTTAAAAAACTATTTGCTGTTTTGCATATAAATTAATAATCAAAATGAAGAAAAAGTATTTATAGTAAGTTAACATAAGATGCTCACAATAAAATAAGATAACGTAAATACTGGTATTGTAATTATATCGTAATTAAAGGGTTTTTTTTCGTATGTAACAGGCACCAAGTCGCACTGACTGGCACTTTGGGCTTTTGCGAAATGATTCGTGTTGGGCCTGCTTGGCTAAAACTGAATAGAGGAGAGGTTGAAACGCGAGGGAAAGATTCCACGTTGAATCAATTTGCGAAATTTATTATATTTAAACGCTTAGCGCCAACAATAACACGTGAGTTTATTGAGTAAGCTTGGAAAAATAAACCGAAACGTTGGTACCCTTGCGAGCATTATCTAAAGTGTATATTACAATTTATTTAAGTGCTTCCTCCTAAGATAAGTTTCCAAAGGAACCTTCAATGAGTTTTTAACATTTTAATTTTTTTTTATCAAAACTAACTTACTACGCAGAACAAGACATTTCGAAACTTACAAGTCTATTGGTTTTGAGTGCGCCATATCGTAAATCATTGAGAGTCTTTGCTGGAAGCCGCTAACTCGGCATAAATTACGTGAGCGCTCAGTCAAGTTTAAACCAAGTTTAATCAGAGAGCCTGGTCGAAGAGCCTAAGCGGAGTTTTATCGGGGAGGTAAAGCCGAGTTTGATCAGAGAGCCCGAGGTGTAAAAGTGAGAGGGATGTGGAGTGCAGTTTAGCTGTTAGATTTGGGTTGCTTACACGCGGACGATTGCGTGGCGTCTGCCCAACATTCAGCATTATTTAGTCTTTATTTTCGCACATTTTGCATAAATTATAGTGGCAGCAGACTGTTGGTAGCTGATTGGGCTCTTGGGCCCGCGAGCCAGGTTCAGTTACCAATTTCGTGTGCAGCCGTTCGGTTTGAATGCGGCGTGAATGGCGTGGATTCAGTGAGCGAACTGCGATCGAGGGGAAAAACAGTCAGAGGAAAGGCGAATCCCAGCTCCGAAATGTGTGCACAGTTGAGTGGATCGACGGTGGTGCAGGTGGTTGTGCCGCTGGCGGTGCTAGTGATGCTATCGGCTCCACTGGCCAGTGAAAGTGCCAAGCTCCCGGCCCGAAAGTATCCCGCTGGAGTGGATTTCTTCGAGCACGAGTTCACCAGCGTCGCGGAAGGTTGGTTCCACTCCCAGATTTTATGCAGAAATGTATAGGTATACATATTGTGAATAGCAGGATTGCATTTTTTACTTCATTTTTGGGAAAACGTATATTTATATTGTGCGTTTGCAAAGGATATTATTCTCTTAAATTTATACTTTTTTATTTAATTAAGTCACAGAATTTTAAAATATCTTAAGAAATTTAATACAGCCAGAAAAAAGTAAGCCCATTTATTTGGGAATATTTGATTAATTGCATAAAAATTGTAAGTTAGATAATGACCATTTGGATGTTGTGTACAAAAAGATCAGCAGCAATAAGTATGTATTTTTTAAGTGTTCAATTTTTTTTTTTTTGACTCTTAAATAACAATTAAACAAGAAAGGAAGCTAGCTTTGGCAAGCCGAAGCTGATATCGAACAAAATACAAAAAGGCTAAACAACATCGAAGCTATGTCGATTTTTCTATAAAGTTTCTGTATATTCAACAATTGTTCATATGGCAGCTATATGATATAGTTGTCCGATTTTGATAAAATTTAATCAAGTCGATCTGATCAAAAACAACGGCGTGAGAATTTTTTGTTTCACTCTTTAAAACTGAGAGACTAGTTTACATAGAAACAGACAGGAGGACAGACGGTCAGAGGAAAAGACGTACAGACGTATTTGGATTCTCATCGTGATGCTGATCAAGAATATATGTACTTTGTGGGGTCTGAGGTGTCTTCTTTACTGTGACAAACAGTTATTTCCGATTTTTATAAATTTGTAAAGTATAAACTACAAAAATAAAATAATGTAAGCAATCATTTTGCATTTAAAAAATTAGATAAATGTTTCCGGCTATGCTGAAAATAATATTGTCTGCAGTTTAAGTAAATCCATTTATAAATAATTGTTTTGATAAAGTTTCAGATAAAGTTGCATAGAAACGGAAGTACGGACATGACTGACTGTTTTTATCGTCTAGTGACTCTGAACAAGAATATTTATGTATAAAACATGCTATCAAAATTGTTTCATTCACAGCGTTGAAAACTTCCCAGAAAGTTTCTTCTTTTGCAAAATTAAAACAAAAACCCAATTTTTTCAGACTTTTTTTTGTAAAACTAAAGATAAAAAAATAATCACAAAGAAATATTTAACAAATTATTAATAATAGAAGTAAAAGTGTCTATAAAAAGTCCGACTTTTATATAGATGATACTTTTATATTATATATCCTATAAGAAGGTTGTTAATACGATTTTATTTTATTTGTATTTAAATTGTTTTAAACTTTATAGATTTTGTAAATACCTCGATGCGAGATCAATCTTATTAAAAATAAAAATATTGTAGTTTCTGTATCTGTTCAAAAACTAACAATTTGTACCCATTTACAGATGAATACGATCCTTATGGACCGGACATTGGCGACGACGATTTGGGCATCGACGATCCGGAGACAATGCCTCGACTTTTTCAAGGGGACATCGCCATCGACCCGTACACCTACATAACTCTCCGTCTGGGAGTAAATCCCATGAGACACCCCAAACGACTTTGGCCCAATGGAACGATCCCATTTGAGATCAGCCCACGCTACGAGAATCAGGAACGGGAGGCAATCATCCAAGCCGTGAAGACCTTCAACTCGCTAACCTGCGTGAAGTTTGTTCCCTACGACGGAGAGGTGGATGACTACCTGCTGATCGAACCGCCTGAGGAAGGACCCCAGGGGTGCTGGTCCTATGTGGGAAGAAGGGGCGGGGAGCAGGTGGTGTCGCTCCAGAGACCTGATGAAAACAGCGCCCACTGCTTCAGCAGCGAGGGGAGAATAATGCACGAACTGATGCACGCCATAGGGATATATCACGAGCAGTCCCGAGCGGATCGGGACAACTTCGTGAAGATTCACTGGGACAACATCGTGCCGCGGTTCAAGAAAAACTTCAAGCTGGTCTCGAAGAAGAAGGGGAAGTACGCCTTCGACTACGACTACAACTCGGTCATGCACTACGGGGAGTTCTACTTCAGCAAACGGAAGGGGGAGAAGCCCACGATGACCCCTCTGCAGCCCGGAGTAAGGATCGGCCAGCGGAAGACCATCAGCAAGATCGACTGCCTCAAGATCAACGAGCTCTACGGATGCCTGCAGGGACGGAGGGCCAAAATGTATCGCAGTTTCTGTCACCTACTTGGTCTTTAAAAAAAGCCTGATTGTACTACTATGAATCACATTGATTTGTTATTTAATAAATTAATTCGTAGACCTATAATAAAAACGAAGGATAAATAACTGAAAAAGGTGTAAAACCTCTGGGCAATTTCTAATAAGCCGGTCATTGAATTTTCAGTAGGATATAAGAAGAAAGCACTTCCAGTTTAAAAGCGTTTAAATTAGGCCTCTTTTATGAAATGGTCTTGTTTTAAACTCATAATTTTTTTAAATTTTATTTTATAAAATTTTAAATGCTAAATGTTATAAGTAAAAACTGCATTTTTTAAGTTGGCCAGACTCATAGCTCAGTCAATTTTCAACCGATTTACTTGAAATTCGAAGCACGTATTCTATATAACATTGTATATGGAAGTACGTAGATTTTGTTTATGTTGTTGAGTTCATTCGTTATTAACAATTATCGTATGTTTTAAGGGAAATCTTTACAAATATTTTAGGCCCTTATTAGCCGAGCGATATGCTGCACTTCTTTTATTTTCTCTTGTTATATTTGGAGAGTTACAGCATGTTTATATTGCATACTTTTGCGCCGAGATATTAACATTGACTTCTTTAAAAATGTTAACTAGGGTTAATGTTAATTATTGTTTTTTAATATTTTGCTGATGCAGTTATTATTATTTTGTTTTCTACTTTAGCAATTTAACCAAGTGCTTATCTAAATACGTTAAATTGAAAATACCCAAAGGATTTTTAATTTAAACAAATAAATAAAGTAAATTGCTATCATTTTACCGCTAACAGTGAGCCGAGCTTCAAACCTAAAATTCACTTGAAGACACACTTTTCCATAAACATTCTGGTCACACTGTTATACCACTTTTATATATATGTTTAACTAAACATTTCGCTGAAAAGCAGGGGTAAAATTGCGCTTTAGCGGCTTTTGCTAAAAATGGTCTAGGAATTTTTTTTTTTTTTTAATGGATACCTTGGGGCCTAAACATTAATAAAAAAGTGGCGGAAAGCTTGATTTCTAAGTATTTATTTGTAAAAATAGCAAAAAAGCAACTGGCCATAGCTTTTCTGGGTATTCACTCAGTACTATAAAATCACTCTGAGTCATTTCGCAACCTTTACAGCGTTCAGTAGTAAAATTGGCAGTGCCTGACATGGTAAAATTGTTAAATTTCTTTTGTTTTTAAATTTTCACACAATTGCAGCACTCTTCATCCACAACACATTCTCAACGGTAAAGTTTTTCGCTAGAAAAACATGGCAATGTTCTAAAACGGGTTGCCTCGCGGCAGTAATAATTGCAATTTTAACACATAAATAATTAAAATTTAAGCTTTCCGCCACTTTTTTATTAATGTTTAGGCCCCAAGGTATCCATTAAAAAAAAAAAAATTCCTAGACCATTTTTAGCAAAAGCCGCTAAAGCGCAATTTTACCAAAGCAGGAACCGAGACACAAACCATTTTAAGGTTGGTAAAGTAATGACTATCGCTGGCAAAATTAGGGAAAAGTGGATATTTTGTCGTGGCTGGTCACTCTAAGTTTCAACGGTCACGCTAAAATATCCACGGGCAAGCAAAATTGGCCACTCTAAATTTTGGACGAGGTTAGGTAAGACACGCGCGGTCCGCAGCGAAGAAATCTGAAAATAGCAAAGCCCTGAAGTTGGGGCCGTTGTGAAAAATGCTGAAGCTAGTGCAATACATAGCCGGCCGGGTGGGCGGCGCCACGCCCAGGCCGGCCGCCTGCAGCTTGGGCAACTTGCTATTGATTTCCCCGAGCCCCGAGAAATGTATAACGCAACGTCGCCATTTTCTTTTCTCCACCAGCGGCACTTTCGCTTCTTCGCTCTGCAACGAACACCGACAACAGTTCCACGGGAGTCTCAGGAATCTGAACCGGGAGATATACCCAGCTTCAGCACTACTATCCAAAAACAGTAGTTTCCAGTCGCAGCGGGCGTTTCGAGTTAATTCGAAACTAGACGACTCAACAGATTCTCTCCCGAAAGCAGAGCAGCGGACGAGACGGAAGTCGCTTTTTACCGATCCGGACGAGAATTCAGAGGAAATCAAGATTGAAGGAATAATGTGAGTATACAACCCAGTTCTAATTAAATTCCCAGAATTGCTTATGAAACGCGTTGGTTTTTTTCCGCTGTCGCCATTTTATCACCCTTCGTTTTTTTTTTTTTTTCTGTACACCTACGAAGTTGAGTGAGAGGTGATGAGTAATTAGCTGAAGCAGTGGGGAAAGAGAGAAAAACACATGGCTAAATTTTGACAGTCGGTTCGGTTATATTTTTTTCTCTTTTTGTTTGTCCCTCACATCCGCAGGGGAATGGCAAAAGCAACAAGAACGACAGCGCACGTCATAAAAAGAATTTGCCTGATTTGTGAAACGTGTTCTTGCTTCGTTTGCTTTTTTATAGCGTTTTAATTTGTCTGTATGCCCCGAACACGAACACGCGCGCACACACATCGCCAGTTTTTAATGTGTATTTGGTGTATGTGTGTGTATGCCTGTTGACGGCGGCATTTTCGCGTGCTTGTATAACAGTTTCATGTGTGTATAACAGACGGCGGCTGTCACTGGCTAGCGCTGTCCCGCTCACTCGTCACCATGCCATTGTCTCGTGCTCCTTCTCTCGCTCACACGAGGTTTTCTTAGAGATATCGCGATGTTTCTGGCACTCGCAATAATTTATGTTTGGTCTTTGTGGCCCCAACTTTCATTATTCAATGTAGCAGCAAAGCGAACCTTACTGCTAAATAATAATTTGGTTTCGTAAATACACTGCTTAATGTATTGACAATTACTACATACATATCTTACGTTAATCAAATCATTAAAATTTGTATGTATTACTTGTTTTTATTTAGCTCTTTAGATTGGATCTTTCGGGGGTTAAATGAACTTTTCAATATTTCATTCATGTCTACAACCTGTCTTATGATTATTGACCTAGATTACACTTAAATCACTTCCTGGAAATTAACAATTTTTATTTTATTTTTTTTTAATTTACTTATGTATTTATTGGTTGCTTATTCTCGATAACTTAACTGACATTTTTGTGATAAGAATTTTCGTCGCCGAGTCTCACGAAAACTTATCTAAAAATAATTTGCGACTTGCGTTATAAATTTTTTCTGATGTTGACGAAATGTCACAAAAGAAAACAAAATTAAAAATAGGTCAATTTGCATTGTATTTAAAATAAGATGTATAGACGTGAATGTATTTCCACTAGCTATTATTATATCTGTTAATAAGCCTCAGAGAAAAATGCCAACGCTCTGGAGAATGTAATAGTAACCCAGTTCGTGAACTTTCCCATAACATAAACGGACCCATTAGTCTAAAATGTCAAATGACGCCAATTGATTATGATGAGGAGCTCCCCCCTTTTGGCGAGCTCGCGATTCGTCTTTTCGCATGTCAAAAAGCGACAGGTAGACACACAGAAAGTCAGAGGTGCCCTCTGGGGGCTTTTCCCAGCCCCCTCGGGTGTTTACCCCCCTCGAAACTAGGGACAAGACATTTGGCTGTCTCATAAATGTTCAGAGCGCTCCGCTCCGCTAGTTGGGCACAATTGCTAGCGTGCCACAGGCCCTACAAATATACGTTTGGGGCGGGATGGGGTTTCAAATTGACAGAGCAATAGACAAGCCAAAAGGGGGATTGAATCGAGGGTTGGATTTGCATAGTGCACCCCATAGTGCTGCCAACCTGGAGCCACTACATCCAAGTTGAGATCATAAGTATAACCCAAACTCAAAAAAGATCAGATAACCCCTATTTGAGAAACACTCTATTCTTGTCTGTTGATTAGATATTTCAAACCTTTTTTAGTGTTCTTCCAATAAAATTTAAATATTTGAAATACATACCGCGGATATCTGGACTTTCTTTAGACTATAGCCAGATCTGACTAGAAAGTAGCTAAGGCGGCAACTCCACGCCCAAGTTGATTAATGCCGGAGCAATAAACACAGGGCTTTGTACGCGGGGTTGTTTAGTTGAGCAGTTTAGGGCAGGTAAATTGGGGTGGAAGGCTGTGGGTGGGAGTAATAGTAACCCTGCTCGAATTGCATGTTGTTGTCAATCAAATTTGCTTTACTGTTTGTACTATTCGAAATTTATTTAATTTCCCTAACACGCAATTAGTTTTATTTAAGTTTATTGCGGTTGTAGCACAACTCCATGTCAGCTGTTTAGCAGCGTCGAAAGAAATCGTAGAGCGAAGAGTTACCTTCCAAGTCGCCCAGTCGCAGTTGAAATCCAAGTCCCAACTAGCAGACGTCTAAACGGCAGCATGCGAGCAAAGTAAGCCAAGTCACTCGTTTCATTTTCCCCAATTTTCTGCCAAAGAAATACTTAAGAAAAGAAAATGCAGCTGTCAAGGCCGAGCTAAGAAATGCAAGCCATTTAAATATTGTTAAAGTCTTGAAGGTTGATTTGTTCCGAAATATAGAGCAGTGATTACCTTATTATCCGAATTGCTACCAAAAAGTTTTTGGTTTAAGTGAGCAGAGCAATATTCAGATGGATGATAAGAAAGAATTGATTAAACAAATGCACATTGCAGCAGACTTAAAACTATAAGCCATATTCTACTTCACAAGATTGTGGGAAAACAATCAGCAAAATTTGTAGGATATCTATATTATAAATATATTTAACGAGGTTGCACCAACTTATTTAAAAAACAAAAGCTGCACATGTAATTCCACAGAACCTAGAGACCGAAATTCAATAAAAGTTGTTTGCTTTCAAAAAGTAAATTAAAGGCCTTTGACAGTGGACACCAAGTTAGAAATAAGAAGTGGAAGCATTAACAATTTGTTTATTTGTTTACTCCGAACCAACTGCGATACAGAATCGTTTCAGCATACACTAGCTTTTTTTTACGTGAACGAGCAATCTGAGATTGAGATCTGCAAAAACAGAATACTAAACAAAAAAGATAATTAATAAAGTTGTTAAAGCAATTGCTTTATTTTGTACTTCAGTAATGCGAAATATTCTCAGAGCTTGTTTCAAATACGAAATTGCAAAACTGGAAATAAGTTAAATGAACTTCGTTGCATTTAATTACTGCTTTACTAAGCTGCAAGATGACTTCTTTTCTTTAGCGTTCTCCCTATAAACAACTTAAATGAATCTCTAGATATTAACAGATATATTTCTTGTTTTCCAGGGCACCACACGATCGCGACTTTGGTCACAGTGGACGTGGCGGTCGCGGAGGCGATCGAGGCGGCGATGACCGGCGTGGAGGAGGCGGCGGGGGCGGAAATCGCTTTGGAGGCGGAGGTGGCGGTGACTACCACGGCGTGCGAAACGGTCGCATCGAGAAGCGTCGCGATGACCGCGGAGGCGGCAACCGTTTCGGAGGTGGAGGCGGAGGATTCGGAGGCGATCGCAGAGGAGGCGGCGGAGGCGGAAGCCAAGACCTGCCCATGCGCCCGGTCGACTTCTCCAACCTGGCTCCCTTTAAGAAGAACTTCTACCAGGAGCACCCCAACGTAGCGAACCGCACGCCGTACGAGGTGCAGCGGTACCGCGACGAGCAGGAGATCACTGTGCGCGGACAGGCGCCGAACCCCATCCAGGACTTCTCCGAGGTCTACCTGCCCGACTACGTGATGAAGGAGATCCGCCGACAGAACTACAAGGCGCCCACCGCCATCCAGGCGCAGGGCTGGCCCATCGCCATGAGTGGCTCGAACTTCGTGGGCATCGCCAAGACGGGATCCGGCAAGACCCTGGGATACATCCTGCCCGCCATCGTCCACATCAACAACCAGCAGCAGCTGCAGAGGGGCGACGGTCCCATCGCCTTGGTGCTGGCCCCCACTAGGGAGCTGGCCCAGCAGATCCAGCAGGTGGCCACCGAATTCGGTTCCTCGTCGTACGTGCGCAACACCTGCGTCTTCGGCGGTGCCCCGAAGGGCGGCCAAATGCGGGACCTGCAGCGCGGCTGCGAGATCGTCATTGCGACGCCAGGACGCCTTATTGATTTCCTCTCCGCCGGCTCCACGAACCTGAAGCGCTGCACCTACCTGGTGCTGGACGAGGCCGACCGCATGTTGGACATGGGCTTCGAGCCCCAGATCAGGAAGATCGTCTCGCAAATCCGGCCCGATCGTCAGACGCTCATGTGGAGCGCCACCTGGCCCAAGGAGGTCAAGCAGCTGGCCGAGGACTTCTTGGGCAACTACATCCAGATCAACATTGGCTCGCTGGAGCTGTCCGCCAACCACAACATCCGACAGGTGGTGGACGTTTGTGACGAGTTCAGCAAGGAGGAGAAGTAAGTGTTGGCCTTTCCATTCCATGAGTGAAAAAACTGTCACAATCTGTACCTTCAAAGGTCTTTGGGATTTAGTTTTGTAAAGTTGTTTTATAAATGTAAAGATAGCCGTGAAAATAACAGGATTCATTCCCATTAGTAGCTACAGATATTGACTAACACTCATCAGTTACTCAAATCAAGATATAGAAAACTAATTAGTTCCCTTTAATTTACCCAGATTGAAGACCCTGCTGTCTGACATCTATGACACCAGTGAGAGCCCCGGCAAGATCATCATTTTCGTGGAGACGAAGCGGCGCGTGGACAACCTGGTGCGCTTCATCCGCAGCTTCGGCGTCCGCTGTGGAGCGATCCACGGCGACAAGTCGCAATCGGAGCGTGACTTTGTCCTGCGCGAGTTCCGCTCGGGCAAGTCCAACATCCTGGTGGCCACAGACGTGGCTGCCCGCGGACTGGGTAAGTGTGCTCCCACCTCGGTGTGGAATATCTCGTAGTTTGCGGCCAGATGAGCGAATGTTTTGGAGGGGCCTGCTAGCGATAAGGTTACACTTGATAGGGCCATTGCTTACATACAATTACAACAAGATGAAACGCACCTAACCGATCACCCCCATCATCACACACACCCAGCACATGCGAGCAGAAATCCAACCCCGAACCCAACACCCGATTCCCCTAACCGCACCTAGAGATATATCCCGGTATATCGAAACCACATCTAGCGAGCGCGCCAACTCAGAAACAGTTTATTAGACATAAGCCAAATGCCGAAATCGAATAATCAACTTGACTTTTACCCCACCCCTGACCCTGCCCCCCACACACCCACCCGACCCGCCCCGCCCACACCTGAACACCCGACCAAACCCCTGCTAAAAATGTATGAAACGCATATGATATGTATTATGATGCTCCATATGCACTGCGGTGTACCTGGTACACAACTTTTGTCTTTGTGCGTGTCTCTCCTCCTCTTTCTCTCTCTCTCTCTCCCCTCTCTCTCTCTCTCTTTCTTATTTCTTTCTCGTTTACAGAGGCCGATTTTGGTAGTATGATGGCAGGGATAATGAATGAGCGGCGACCACTGCGAACACTCGTGACTTGAGCGACTTTTGCCTGCAACATCAGATCTGTTAAGATATAGATACATGATGACGCCACACCCAGTGTGTGGTACTATTGCGCAAAAGGACCGATGAAAGTTCTCAGATTCAGGCGGTCGAGTGACACGAATATCGAATATCCCCAACATCATGCATCATATGTGGCCTCTGCAGTCCCCGACTTTTTGTTGAGAAAGAATGATATGATATGAGATGAAATGATATGATACGTTTTTGCGACCAAGACTACCACCACCAACCAAACAAAACAAAACAAACAACCAATCAACCAGAGATCCAACAACAACAACAACTGAACCGAGCCATCAGAGAGCCGGCTTTTTCCTCAGCAGTGGAAGGCGGAAGGCGGCGTGCAAAGTATAGCTGGGTTTGGCCTGGCCCTTGAGAACGCACAAGAATTGGACATGCACCAAGTCAGTCGACAGCAACAGCAAAAGCACATTGACACCACCAACCAACCACCACCCACACCACATACACACTCCTCCCGAGAAAGAACACCCGACACTTGCTTTAAGCGCTGCTGAGCCAGTAAAAGGACTAGACCAGGAGACGATACGAGACACGAGACGCGCAATGTGTGTTTCGCGATGTGTGCTTTCGAGGAGATCCAGACGAAGATGCAGATGCTGCTGCTGAGTGCTGCGTCCTCCCAAAAGATCACCACCAACCAACCACCCACTCACTGCCTGCGTTTGCCGCCGCATCACAAAAACCCACTGCTCCTGGACGAAAAGGCGGCCCGCTTGTTGTTGTTAATCCTCCCAAAAGTTGAAATCTATATATAATGGTCGTGTCTCCTCTCGGTGGTCATCTCCAATATGGTCCATGTGAGAAGAGAGCTTAGTCAGAGGCGCACGCGGCTCAATGCAACAAACTCTCCGCTTCGCCGTGCGATCGAGATCGCTACCTTGTTGTTTCTGGGGAGAGTTTGGACCACGAGCTGCGCGACGCCAATCAGAGATTTTGATTGAGAGAAAATTGAGTGAAACAATTTATAGCACCAAGAAGGTAACGTACATTTTGAAACATTTTCTTTTTTTTCTCTTAAAAACAAAAAACAAACAAACCCACAAAACCAAAACTACCATAGACCTCAATAGTATGCTAACTTTAAAAGCCTAAAAAAAAAACTAAAAAGAAAAGACAAGTGTGTTCAAAGTGTTCAAAACATCTCGGAAAAACGCTAAAAATTGTTGCAAGCGAGTGCGCAGAGCGGAAATTCATTTGGCAATTTGAAAACTGTTAGTCAAATATATATTGCTCCCCCAGATTATTACTAAAAACAGTCGTTAGCTCGAGGCTAATCTGTGTACCTTTTCTTTTCCCCCGGACATCATGTAGACGTGGACGGCATCAAGTATGTCATCAACTTTGACTACCCGCAAAACAGCGAGGACTACATCCATCGCATCGGACGTACAGGACGATCAAACACAAAAGGCACATCCTTCGCCTTCTTCACCAAGAACAATGCCAAGCAGGCCAAGGCGCTGGTCGACGTCCTCAGAGAGGCTAATCAGGTGAGTTAATGGCTTGGAAATTATTTCTGGGTAATCACAAGCTGTAAAAACAGCTGGTAAATTTACAAAGAATAATTTTGTTTGAAATTTGTCATATTAATAAATACATATTTATATTTAACAAATCTCGTATGACCGGAAATGAAATAGTGCTGATATTAGTTTTATGAAAGTAAATGCATTTTTGAATTAACCGCACAGGGAAATGTTAGATTTTTAAATAATTAAAATTTATTGAAAGCTGTTTATTACTGACCGTGAAATTAAATAAAATAAAATCAATAAGTTCTAATGTTTGTCAATTATTCGCCCAGGAAATCAACCCTGCCCTGGAGAATATGGCCCGCAACTCGCGGTACGACGGTGGCGGCGGACGCTCCCGGTACGGAGGCGGCGGCGGTGGCGGTCGCTTCGGCGGCGGCGGCTTCAAGAAGGGCAGCCTGAGCAACGGACGAGGCTTCGGAGGGGGTGGCGGCGGCGGCGGCGAGGGCAGACATTCGCGCTTCGACTAGATCAAGAACAGAAGAGCAGTAATAGAAGCTATAGAAACAGGAGATTTCAGTAGCTAAACTAAACCGCGCTAGGCCCTAAGTTAAATTAAGTTAATAGCCTAAGTTTAAGTTTTCGTACAATTTTCACTGAACCGCTAACGGTTATTCTCAGATTTTAATTCAGACATTTAACTCCAATGGAACACAAAAAACCAAGCTATTTGAACATAGCGACTTTATGTTTAAATGATTTGTAATTTATTTGACGCTGAACCGCAAGGTCGGCCTAGAATCCAATTGAAAACATCAAAAACACTCTTTACTTAAACGCAAAAACCCATTTTCAAATATGATGTGATAATTTCTTAATTTAATGCAACGTATCACTAAACTAAAACACATGGAAACGTAGCGCGAGGAGTTTAATGATGTGGTCGAAGAAAAGAAGGAGGAGGAAGTAAGGATCATTCCCGTTTTGATGACGATGAACAAAGGCTGACGAGCGACCTTTGTTTGATAAATAAATTCTTCAGCTTACTTTTGGAAAATTAACTTTTTGGATACCTTTTATGGCTCAAGAAGAATGTGTAAAGGAAGTGAAATAAAAGGAAAATCACATTAACTACTTTAACACTAAATACAAAGAAAAATCTGTATGTACAAGATGAGAATTTCTCACTTACAATTTAATTTTTCGGAAAAAATAATAAACGTGTGTATGTATACCTACCTACTACAACCTAAACCAACAACAAAGCTGCAGTTTTATGTATTGAATTCAATTAGGGAGTGAGCGCACTGGCGGCTACAAAGGAATTCCATTTTCCATGAAAGGTCCTGGGTGTAAAATAATCGTGATTGCAAAAATATTTGCAGACATCATTAAGTGCGAGACTTGGCCGCTTTTGGCAAAGTGTCAATAGCAGTCCTTTACTCCATTGAAAAGCAAAAGATAAGAAAGCCGTATTTGCTTTGGGGGGCAGTACAAGTGTTGCCAACTGAGCTATTTTGTAGCCATCCTTAATCCTTGATGTGGTTCAAAATTCAACTATTTTGAAGTTAAGTTTTGTATTTCTACAAAAATAAACCACTTAACAAATGAAGTTACAACTTGTTCTTAATTGTATACTTTAGGACATTAACGTTTGACTAACAAATATTTTAAGTTCATGAATTTCTTTTTGCTAAACTAAAGACGAATTCCATAATAAATATTTTGTGAACTACTATCTTACTGTTCATTTTATTGCTACACAAAGAACTGGTCGCATTTTCGAGTTGAAAAAAGTATTTATTGAAAAAATATTTGCTTCTTACCGTTAAAAATTTAAAGTAAGTAATGAGGCCTTCTTATTTATTGGGCAGACAAAATAAACTATATCATCTGAACTCACTTTGCAGCTATTTTTCATCATTCTGGGAATCGATAGTTGGCAACACTGCAGGAAGTAAGTAAGTAGGAACGGACAGCCGCCGTGTCCGTGTCTTCTGACACCACATTTAGACGCAATGAAGCCAATTCACTCTCGGCTTGGCATGCTCCGAGCCTTGGGTCCCACGTCTCCCTCGGTCCATGGCTCCCACTGCTTATGACAAGTTAGTTGGGTTCTTGGGACCAACACCCTCCTCTTACCCGCTTTGCAGGCTGGCCAAAGTTGAGGGCCGCTGCTCCGTGGCGATTTCTGGCGCCCGATAATGACGCTTCTGGGGACGTGAATGTGGTCGGATTGGAGGTCCTGCGATTCGCTGGCTGATGGGACGTCGCGTTCTTGCGGTTGCGGCGGAGCGAAGGAGGAAGTCATTTGTTAAATTGCTTGAATTGGGCAATGCGTTTTGGGAGCGGCAAGGAGTTTTTGGGGCCCTTTGATTGGCGATATGTAAAACTGAGGCAACTTGGTGGAAATTTGTTATCAAGTTTTGAGGCCAAAGTTTGTTCTGGTCAGTGCTGTGTAATTTGGTTTGCCTTTACGCAAATATTGTAATGTCTGAAGTGCTCTCTAAAATAAACGAAAAAAATGGAGAAATATTTAAGCGTTTAAGCAAATGTTATAACCTCTTTTCTTATTTTAAATATTCAATATGCATTATAAACAAGAAAGGAAGGCGAGCCGAAGCTTATATACCCTTGCAGTCATCAATTATGTCTAACAAAATACATAAAGGCTAAACAACATCAAAGCTATGACGATCTTTCTCTTAATTTTCTATAGTTTCGACGATTGTTCATATGAAAATAGTTGTTCGATTTTTATGAAATTTAATTTGAAATTCAAGAGTTCCTAGGGTCTATACTCCAAAAATCATGATTGTCTGATGGAAAACAATTTTTGATCATTTCTAGACCTATCCTATTTTAATAAAATTTAATACGAAATTCAATAGTAGTTAAAAAACACCATCTGGAAGAAATCAAATCGAAATGATCAAAAACAACGGTCAATCTCTCGTGAGGGAGCTCGCCCGTTCCGACTTATATACTGCGTGCAATAACTACACAACTTTTGGGAAAGTTTCAGCAGGATAGCCTTAAAACTGAGAGACTATGACAGACAGACAGACGTAGAGACTTTTTTGATTCAGATCGTGATGCTGATCAAGAATATACATTTATATTTTATGGGGTCTGAGGTGTCTCCTTCATTGCGTTGCAAACTTTTGACTTACATAATAATAACCTTTGCTCTGCAAGGTTATAAAAACTGAAGGGGATTATACTTTTATCATATAAGAACATTTTTTCGTTTTCATTTTTAAATATTCCTTAAGGTAAAAAAACTTTTTTAAAAAAAGATTTCGTGTATTATATTTATTTGAAAAGTAAATTAACCCACGCAAACTGAAATTAATTCGAGTAATTTTTTGATAAGGTTTAGCTGTATATATTTTCAAGCTGGTTAAATTTATCTACAGGTGGAACAATGTTTGGCAGCAACGCACTTATTTGTACTCCAGGAAATTCCTCCTAAACAGAAAGTAAATTCGTTTTCTGTAATCTTTTGTTATAATTTAAGGCTAGGATTAATCCCTTCCCCGCCCAGTGATGATGGCCCCGAGTGGGGCATTAAGCAGCCACACAACATTTACTCCACGCACTCATCGCATTCGCAACTGCTGGCAAATTGCCTCCAGTCCGTCCACCTCGCTGCATCCACATCCCCATTTCCACCATCAAAAGCCACATTCCACGCTTCACGTTTGGGACGCAGCGTTTGGCTCTCTAGCTCATTTTCGTTCTTATCCCCTGGCCTACACTAAAAGTAAAATGTGGGCAAGGACTCTGTTGAAATGCATGTTCAAACTTAAATATTCAGAACAATTGCTCAACTGCTCAGGTGTGTCAAATTTGGACACTAAAACTTTAAGAGTTGAGTGCTAAAAAGCTTTTCTTAAAAAGGATTGTTGAACATTTAAACTAAAAAAGTCGTAAATAACATCAGGTAAAATGGCTAGAATGGGAATTATAAAAACGTATCTATATAAGAAAATACTGTTAGGAAACGTAAGGTTAAAAAAATTTTTTTTCCCATTTTTTTATTTATTTTTTTTTCCAAAAGAATATTGTGTAAAATTGTTGAGTCAATTAGAGTCAAACTAACGGAGTTACAGCGTTTTAAGCGACCAAATTTGTACCTATTTTGACCTATAAAAATAATTTAAATCGATTTTCCCGAAAACGTATTTGTAAAGCCGGTGAACATAAGAACTCAAAGTCTACCAAACCGATCCTTTTGAAAATTTCAAGACTAATTCTTCAGTTGTTTTTGAGTTGAAGAGTTTTTTTGGTTTTCAATTTTTTAATAATAATTTAACAGCGATTCGTTGAGCTGAAGTCGCACTTTTTACTTACAAGTGCTGCAAAAAATGGACCAAAAAAAAAAACTCTTTCTGATTACCCCGAGCTTAAACGCATTTAACTTTATTTTTAAGATGATCCGTTAACGAACGAACGTTGTTCGTCTGTCCGTTTCACTTCAGACTAGTCTCTCTTTAGTTCTTGCTGAAACTTTCCAAAAGTTGTGTAGTCATTGCACGCAGTATATAAGTCGGAACGGACTGAATCGGGCGACTGTATCGGAAGCTCCCATACGAGAGAATGAAATAAAAAAATTCTTACGCCGTTGTTATTGATCAGATCGACTTGATTTCTACCAGATAGCGTTTTCTAACTATTATTGAATTTCGGATTACATTTTACCAAGATCGGATAACTCTATCATAAAGCTACCATAGGAGAGATCGAAAAATATATATAAATAATGGAAAAACCATTTCATGATTTACAAAATATGGAATTTTTTAATAACCCTTGAATCAAGATACAAATGTCAGTAAAATTCGAGAACGTTATCATATAGCTTCCATTGGAAAGACCGAAAATCTATATAGAAGTAACGGAAATAAAATTATATAAAACCGTTGTTTTTCATCAGACAAGCATGATTTTTGGAATATCAAGTTTTCTAACGACTCTTGAATTACAACTTAAATTTCATTAAAATCGGACAACTATATCATATAGCTGTCATATGACATAGTCGAAAATATGGACAATTAATAGAAAAATCGTCATAGCTTCGATGTTGCTTAGCCTTTATGTATTTGTGTCGACATAATTGATGACTTCAAGGGTACATAAGCTTCGGCTTGCCGAAGCTAGCTTCCTTTCTTGTTTTTTGTTGGTTTTATTATATTTTTCGGATAACAAGGAAAACGTATTGCTATATATTTGAAAGTTTTATTTTTTAAGTGTTCTCAACAAGACTAAACTGTTAACATTTCTTATTAAAATAAAATGTGATAAAGCTACTGTAGTTTTTTTGAGTAGCATGCATTTGAATCATTTTTGCGAGTGCCCGCAGCAGCTCACTCCCGACAACGGAGTCGCTCGAGCAAGGCCACTTAACCGAGAACGAAGCAGGTCACTTACTTTGCTCTCGGATTACAAAGGGGATGCCACCAGCATAAATTCATTAAATTTGCCTAATTTCGTTTTGCCAGACGCACACATGGCACCCATGCGCCCGGAACACGACAATTGCCGCAGTGCTATGGAAATTAATGGGGGTCCGGGAAATGGAGCCAAGACAACCAGTTGAAATTCATTGATTGTATTTACAGCACCCGCGACACCACCTCCAACCGCCCAACCCCCAACACACATGCACGCTGCTTTTGGTAATTTGACGCGTTATCACTGGCGTTGAGTTTGTTATCATTAAACCGGCGGCGCCGGCTGACGTACTTAAGCCAAATCAAAACTCAAGAGAAACCGAAGCGCAGAGTCGGGCTCCAGGCTCAGGTTCATAAAAGCCCGCCCCTCTTGGCCGCCCGCACGCACATTAAGCACGCCTTAACTAACAGCCAGGCTGGGTCGCTTGTTTTTGACAACTTGGGCATAATAAGACATTAACTTCATGCACATCAAATACTTTATTTATGGGCGTCTGGGGTGAGTGCCTGCACTGCGCCGAAAAGTGTCGCCTAGAAATGTCAGTTTCTTACTGCCTCAATTTAAAATATAGTGTCTCAATTTAGGAGGCTTAGTAATAAAGTATGGCAATTTCTGGGTTAAAGTTGATATAATTATTTTATTGTTTGAACAGATTTCCACAATTACAACCACAAATTGTACTTTTAACCTCCTCTCGGGAACTTATTAAATCTCTTTTCACTTTTGGACTCTCAAAATAGATCTTATAAACATTGTAAACTTTTACTTTACCTCGTATTGTTTTGTGTGTATCTCTGCTTCCTTGGGCACTTCAAACAAGGGCGATTGTGACTGCGACTGCCACGCCCTCTCGAAGATCCAAAGAAGTCAAGGCGCCGTCTTGGATTTCTCGGTCCTGCTCATAATTTCAGCCCAGTTCCCGCATTTCATCGAGCTTGGTCTCCTGGCCCCCACTTCCACATCCCCTCTCATCTTCGCCTGCTTGATTTTTAATTTCGGTTTTTCCTGCCCGAAACGCCCCAACAACGCCCCTGACCCCAGGAGTTGGTTGCCCTGGCCCACGCTGTCTGTTTATTTACCATAGCTGCCTGTTTGGCAAATTAAGTGCAATTGCTTGAATTTAATTTCATGCAAATAAAAGTTTTGATTAGACGCCACACATCCCGCCACTTCGTGCCGCCACGCCCCCTTCCCCCCGCCCCTCACCTTGTTCCCATTTGATCCACCGACACATGTTCGTAATTAGGCACTTGGGCATATGGAGGTGTGTGTGAGTGTGTGTGTGTGCTTTCGGGCGGCTCTTGTTGGCGCAGCCTACGTTGCGACCCACGTGGCGTATGCGTAATATAAAACGAAGCGCATGAAATTCCCCAAAAGTGGTATATGTTTCGTATATGCGGGTAATATAAACTATACGAGCTGGGGTCGTAATAAAATATGGCGAATGCTCTACACATGATTTAATTTTGCCGGATTTTGAAGCACACGAACGCACATACAAAGCAAATAAATCTGATGTGAGATGTCTCTTTTAGATTGTTAAATTTTCAAAAACATTTAATGCCAGAGCCTGTTTGAGAAGAAAGGATGTTTATAAGGCAGAGAGAATAGAGACAGCCGATTAATAAAAGACTTTATATTCTTCTTTCAATTTGTAAACATTTCTGTTGTACGAGAACCATTTAAAATAAATAAAATGTTGATATCTTTTTTTAAGATAATAATAACATTTAAGTGAGCAAACACCATTTTAACAATTGTATTCTTGATTTTATAGTTTTCCATTTGAGAAATTCTTTCTTAATTGTAAACTCATGTGCGAGCTGCGCACTTTGGTATAACACAGTAATTTAGGGGAGTCCATCATATTAAATACAGTTAGTGCGCCGCCTAAATAATTAAAGCACCAAATAATTAATAAAGTCTATCCCGGCCTTTCAAACGTCAAATTAAATTTCCCGCTCAGCAGACCCAGAAGGGAGTGGGCCGGAGACTGGCTG